TGTATCCATTAGAAGTAAACTAACTTTAATACTAAGTAACCAATATATAAGACACAGGATGAGCCAGGAGCCAAGTGTGTGTCAGTGTGATAAAGTGATCGGTTAACTTGGTACCTCGCGTATCATCTTGTTGAGCGAACAGGTTCCTGATTCGAGTCATGAAAAGTATTGCCAACGTGAGGCTGTTGATGGCTGAGCGCCTTGTGTTATGGGTGCCACGAAGTCCTTCGTGGACTACTGGATGTCCACGAAGTTGGGCCAGTTGCGGAACTTTAAGAACATTAGCCTTGTACGTAATAGTCTACCAACATTTAGACGATTTTGGAGGCTCTGATGATCAGACCAGGCCAATCAGACTTGGTCAACGCTAGATATAAGGCTTCGCAATTGGTTCTCCAACTTGTCCAAAATTCTGATGACTGATGGGTGAGGGGGGAAGGAAACTGCCAGGAGAAAGCGCCAAGCCATTACGACTATATAGCACTGGGAAGGTATTAGGATAAGGATTTGGGATGGGACGGGGGGAAGGAATGGTGCCCAACCACTTGGACGGTCGGAGATTGAACGCCGACCTGCATGAAGCGAGACCGTCGCTCTACCGTCCAGCCCAAGTGCTTGGTCTTGATGAAAGGGAGCAGTAGAACTATGCTTCGTACAAGGTTAAGCACGTGGCTTTTCATTGACATTGAAGAGTGAAACTTCATTCCCAGTACGTCAGTTTCAGCTCTAAACACTAGGGTTTTGTCATTACTGTGTATGCCTGTCCCATTAGCAATATACAGTCTAGTTATCATCATCGTCTGTATTTGTTCACTTGTTAATGTAACCGACCATTTTCTCCAGGTGGAAATTGCTGAAAGTGGTGATTAATGACCCTTGTAGCAGTTGGTATTTCTTCTTTTCATATGTAAAGGTTAGCGTGCAGCTCTCGGCATGGGCTTGAGCTTCAGGGATGAGATGAAGTAGCTTACCTTACCTTACCTTGAAATATCTAGCTTACTTACCTTGAACTTACCTAGCTTGTTGAAATAGACATTCCACAGCGGAGGGGGAAGCACACTACCCTGTGTTATGCTGCACCACTTTGTGACTTTTGCACTCTGTTCAATTTAAGATTACTCTTCCTCCTTTCCTTCTTTGCATGTAAAAATTTATGAATGCGTCTGTGGGGTCGACCGCTGGATGTAATGGACTTCAGTCGAGGACGGGTTGATGCTCGGACGCATTTATCAATGTTAACATGCAGTTCATTCAAAATGGGAATTTTCTCAAATATAAAGTAATATTATAATAGCATATTGTGTATATATAGGCATAGGTTAGGTTAGGTGTTTAGGTTCTTTTGGCGATTATTTGTATTTGTAATACGTGGGTGAAGTATGTACAGCGTTGTGGTTCGAACAAAATTCGTCAGTGAAGCACTTGTTCCGGAAGTGTTCGAACGTCATTAGTTGAGAGTCGTGTGTAAATCGTTTTTCAATCATAAACAGCTGGGGGTTTGGCGGGTGGATGGAATCACTTTTGGGTCTTTGTTTGGAGGACGGGCTGCATAACTAGTGATATATTCGAGCCAGAGTGAAGACATTCTGTGAACGCGTGATCAGAACTCATCATGAAGACCGCTAACCAGCGTCTACAGACGGACTCAAGTGTGGTGTCCAACGACCCAATCCTAATCTAGCGGTTACCTTAACGTTGATTCCGGGGAGGTCAGCATCCCCGCGGCCCGGTCTCTGACCAGGCCCTCCTGGTCGATGATCTGGTCAAGCAGGCTGCTCCCAGCTAACGTGTAAATCACAACCTGGTTGATCAGGTATTTGGAGGTCGGGTCTGGCATGTCCCCCTCGCACACAAGAGGACCAGGACCACCGTTGTGGTCTCTTGTCTAGAGCACCTGTGCATTTCATGGCTGGAGACGCGCATTGAGGCTCACCTTTGTAAAGAAGTATGTGCATGCTCCCCATTTTCTATGTCCTCATAAGAGCAGTGTAGTGAATCTCCTGTTTCTCTTGCCTGTATTTATATTCTTAGATTATGGTTAGAAATATATTGTGCATGTGTAAACCATTATGCATGTGTTATGTGCATCTTGTGGAAATGCTGTGCACCCCATACCAACGCTGTGCACCCCATATTAACATTGTGCACCACATTCACTAAGCACCAACATACTAACATTGAAAATTATATTTTTGATCATTTAACCTAATTTTGCAGTTTTATGTATTTTATGCAAATCACTTTAGTATTGAGTGGTACTTTTCATTAGATATTCTGTAGTTAACTTAATATGATTAGGTCTTATGTTGTCGATTAATGTTTTTTCTATTAGCACTTGTGGTAAAAATGATAGTGTAGACATGTTTACAGAATTAGCTGTTGCACGCTTGTAGGCCTCTTGCAACACTGAGCGAACTGATCACGCTCAATGTGGTTGTAAACACACTCACACACTCACTCGCACGCAGACACACACACACACACACACACACACACACACACACACACACACACACACACACACACACACACACACACACTCACTCTCTTTTTTTCTCTTCTCCTCTCTTTTCTCTCTCTTTTCTCTCTCTCTCTCTCTCTCTCTTTTCTCTCTCTTTTCTCTCTCTTTTCTCTCTCTCTTTTCTCTCTCTCTCTTTTCTCTCTCTTTTCTCTCTCTTTTCTCTCTCTCTCTTTTCTCTCTCTCTCTTTTCTCTCTCTCTCTCTTTTCTCTCCTTTCCCCCCTCACTCCCCTAGACCTCTGCTTTTAGTTTACAGGAACTTTAACCACCACACTAACACTGTGGGACACTTTAACCACCACACTAACACTGAGGGACACTTTAACCACCACACTAACACTGTGGGACACTTTAACCACCACACTAACACTGTGGGACACTTTAACCACCACACTAACACTGTGGGACACTTTAACCACCACACTAACACTGAGGGACACTTTAACCACCACACTAACACTGTGGGACACTTTAACCACCACACTAACACTGTGGGACACTTTAACCACCACACTAACACTGTGGGACACTTTAACCACCACACTAACACTGAGGGACACTTTAACCACCACACTAACACTGAGGGACACTTTAACCACCACACTAACACTGTGGGACACTTTAACCACCACACTAACACTGTGGGACACTTTAACCACCACACTAACACTGTGGGACACTTTAACCACCACACTAACACTGAGGGACACTTTAACCACCACACTAACACTGTGGGACACTTTAACCACCACACTAACACTGAGGGACACTTTAACCACCACACTAACACTGTGGGACACTTTAACCACAACACTAACACTGAGGGACACTTTAACCACCACACTAACACTGTGGGACACTTTAACCACAACACTAACACTGAGGGACACTTTAACCACCACACTAACACTGTGGGACACTTTAACCACCTCACTAACACTGTGGGACACTTTAACCACCACACTAACACTGAGGACACTTTAACCACCACACTAACACTGTGGGACACTTTAACCACCACACTAACACTGAGGGACACTTTAACCACCACACTAACACTGTGGGACACTTTAACCACAACACTAACACTGAGGGACACTTTAACCACTACACTAACATTGAGGGACACTTTAACCACCACACTAACACTGAGGGACACTTTAACCACCACACTAACACTGAGGGACACTTTAACCACCACACTAACACTGTGGGACACTTTAACCACCACACTAACACTGTGGGACACTTTAACCACCACACTAACACTGAGGGACACTTTAACCACCACACTAACACTGAGGGACACTTTAACCACCACACTAACACTGAGGGACACTTTAACCACCACACTAACACTGTGGGACACTTTAACCACCACACTAACACTGAGGGACACTTTAACCACCACACTAACACTGTGGGACACTTTAACCACCACACTAACACTGAGGGACACTTTAACCACCACACTAACACTGAGGGACACTTTAACCACCACACTAACACTGAGGGACACTTTAACCACCACACTAACACTGAGGGACACTTTAACCACCACACTAACACTGAGGGACACTTTAACCACCACACTAACACTGAGGGACACTTTAACCACTACAGTGGTAAATATTAATGTCCACTTTTCCCTCCATTATTAAATTACTGGCACTTTTCTAGAGTAGTGGTTTGTGTAGTGTACTTACTAATGTGTAGCTTCCACTTGGCTAGTTCTCTATCCGTACCACCCCTGTTCTCTACCCCCCCCCCCCCGACACCCCTGTTCTCTAACCCCCCCCCGACACCCCTGTTCTCTACCCCCACGACACCCCTGTTCTCTAACCCCCCCCCCCCGACACCCCTGTTCTCTAACCCCCCCCCCGACACCCCTGTTCTCTAACCCCCCTCCCCGACACCCTTGTTCTCTAACCCCCCTCCGACACCCCTGTTCTCTACCCCCCCCGATACCCCTGTTCTCTACTCCCCCCGACACCCCTGTTCTCTACTCCCCCCGATACCCCTGTTCTCTACTCCCCCGACACCCCTGTTCTCTACTCCCCCGAAACCCCTGTTCTCTACTCCCCCCGACACCCCTGTTCTCTACTCCCCCCGACACCCCTGTTCTCTACTCCCCCCGACACCCCTGTTCTCTACTCCCCCCGACACCCCTGTTCTCTACTCCCCCCGATACCCCTGTTCTCTACCCCCCCCCCCCGACACCCCTGTTCTCCTACCCCCTCCCCGACACCCCTGTTCTCCTACCCCCTCCCCGACACCCCTGTTCTCCTACCCTCCCCCACCCCCAATAACCCCTGTTCTCTACCCCCCAAACACCCCTGTTCTCCACCCCCCAAACACCCCTGTTCTCCACCCCCCCCTCCCCCGATACCCCTGTCCTGTAGGTGGTGGGGCGGTAGACTTGAACGCTTGTGTGTACGTCCCGTAGAGCCGCTGTTCACTGTTTGTTTACATTTTCCACAGGACTCCGCCGTAAGAGAGGTACGGTAAGGAGGGGCGCCCGCCCTCGCTTCCGGCTTGGCTCTGCTGGTAACGCTTCTGCTTCTCTGTTTATATTGTCTGCTCTCTGGTGCCATCATGGTGACTGTGTCTGCTTGGTGCTAAAACACCTACTGTGCTGCCAACGGTGACGGCTCCCTGGGAGGTGTAACGGGGGGCACTGTTCTGGCACTGTCTGGAGTGTGTCATTTACCTGCCTTGTTACCCATGTAGTTGGGGGGGGGGGGAGGAGACGACTGTTGGGCACTGGTGGTTGACCGGGGGGGGGGGGGATATTGGCACTGAGATTCACAGCTCCCATAGGGCAACAGATCCTGCTGTATAAACCCATCCTGCTGTTTAAATAGTACTGTTTGTGACTATGTGGAATGTTGTTGACACATTGACGTAATGGACAATTAGATAGTAGAATTTGGTCCTATTCTCTTTTAGTCCGAAAAAAATAAAGCTAAAATCAAACTTAAATATTCTTAGGCCTTGTATAGCACATATATGTACTATACTAGGCCTCAGATAGCGTGTATTAGGGCCTAGGAAGGTTAGGTTAGGTTAACGTTTCTTTACAACAACAGCACAAAAACTTTTCCGATTTGTCCAAGTTCAGAAGTACCGATTTCTACTTTCTAACTGCCCATTACGTCAGATTATGTACTATGGTCCTCATCGTTACTATAAGTACTACCTCACAGGAGGACGGACTGCTGCCGGTGTCCACGTGAGACGACTGTGAAGTCAACTAGGAGTTAACAGCACTCACGGGGGGATTTTAAATGGGAGTAAAATCAGCAGAAATTTTCAATTACCATGGAGCTATTTCAAACCCACTGTACTGGCTGTGGCACTGGCCGAGAGTGCCAACACTCAGCTGTACACACTTGGCACTCAGTGCGATCATAGCACGTTGAAGTGGTTTGGTGACATAAGTGTGACCAAACATGTGGCAGGAGTGTTGTTACTGGCTGTGTGGATATGGTACTGAACTGTTTGACGTTTGCTACCCTGACGGACCAGGTTCGAATGCTTGAGTGGGGGGGGGGGGGGGTCACTAAATTTAATTGTGTGTGTGTGTGTGTATATATGTATGTATGTAATATATATATATATATATATATATATATATATATATATATATATATATATATATATATATATATATATATATATATATATATATATAATATATATATATATAATTTCCTCCACCCTGATGCCCTGTTCACCTAGCAGTAAATAGGTACCTGGTAGTTAAAAAGCTGCTACGAGCTGCTTCCTGGTCTGTGTGTGTGTGGGGGGGGGGGGGGGGAGGGTAAAAAAAGTTTGTTAGTAACAGTTGATTGACAGTTGAGAGGCGGGCCGAAAGAGCAGAGCTCAACCAGGGTCTCAATCTCATCTATATCTGTATATATCTAGATATTTCTATATATCAATTTACATATATCTCAATATTTATCTTTTTCTGTGTTTATCACTATCAGTCTAACCCCGTGACACCCCTTTGTTTGTACCTTTGTTCCGGCAATATTTCTAATTATTGCTGGGAGGGTATTGAATAGCCTTGGACCTCTGATGTTCAGTGTTCTCTGATTGTGCCTATGGCGCACCTACTCCTCACTGGTTCTATTCTACATTTCCTTCCGTATCTTTCTCTCCAGTATGATGTTATTCTACTGTGCAAAATTGGGACCTGGCCCTCCAAAATCTTCCATGTATTTGATATCTTTCTCGTCTCTTATCATTATTCCATTTTAAGGGCTTTGATACAGTCCCAGAAATGTAGGGGCTTTGTGTGTGTGCGTGCCGTATATGTTCTCTGTATTGTCTCTATTTCAGAGATCTCTCCTGCTCTTCAGAGCAGGGAGAAGTTGAGTACTGAGTACTCAAGACAGGACAGCACCAGTGATTTAAATAGTATTAGCATTGCTGTGATGTCCCTGGATATGAATGTTTTCATAATCCATCCTACCATTTTCCTGGCCGCCGTTATATTTGCTCGGTTCACTAAATGTCAGGTCGTCAGACTTTATAATTCCCAGATCTCTTACATGTTGCTTTCCTTCTATGAGTAAGTCTGATTTCTCTGAAGCATTCTGATATCTCACATTGTTTTCTTCGGTTTTCTTTTCGGAAATAACACACATTTTCACACTGGGCTCGAGGAAAAATGGCCTAGGGGTCTTTATTTGCTAATATTTCTAAAAATATTTAACTTAGGCCTATCCGGACCAGCCTAATTCCTTCCCATACCCCCAAACAATCCCCCCCCCCCCTGCAAATTTGGGTGAGGCTGGCCCTAAGCTCCTGGCCTCCAACTTTGAACAGAGTCAAACGTATGTTAATATAATTATTTTATTCACACATCCTGCACGAAAGATGAAGATGCTGATGAGAGTAAAGGAACATTGAGGAAGTTGTGTTCGGGTAAACTGTTGTGACTAACTCGCAAGTCACGACCCGAGGCACAACATTGGAACTTAACTAACTTTATATTCTGGAGAAGCAGAGCGTCGTGAGCGCTGGGGAAACAGCCCCCCCTGCTCCCTCGCTCCCTCCCCAACCAACAATATTTGTGGCTGCTCGCGACAGGCGTGGCACAGGATGGAGGCTTTCTCAATAATATCCAGCATACAGAGGACAGAATGTACAATACCCCGTCTATACCACCTGTGGCCCCGTCTACACCACCTGTGTGTCCCCGTCTACACCTGTGTGTCCCCGTCTACACCTGTGGCCCCGTCTACACCACCTGTGGCCCCTCTCCCTCTCAGTGTGAGGTGTCGCTAATTAAACATTCTTTACACACTTGTTATGTAAATTAATTCAGAAATTACATGGGTCTTGTAATCTCTATGACACCGGAAGATACTAGAATGGCCATGAGTGAGGTGGGTGTGTGTGGCCACGAGTGAGGTGTGTGAGTGTGCGTGGCCACGAGTGAGGTGTGTGTGTGGCCACGAGTGAGGTGTGTGTGTGTGTGTGGCCACGAGTGAGGTGTGTGTGTGGCCACGAGTGAGGTGTGTGTGTGGCCACGAGTGTGTGTGTGTGTGTGTGTGTGTGTGTGTGTGTGTGTGTGTGTGTGTGTGTGTGTGTGTGTGTGTGTGTGTGTGTGTGTGTGTGTGTGTGTGTGTGTGTACTCACCTAGTTGTGCTTGCGGGGGTTGAGCTCTGGCTCTTTGGTCCCGCCTCTCAACCGTCAATCAACAGGTGTACAGGTTCCTGAGCCTATTGGGCTCTATCATATCTACACTTGAAACTGTGTATGGAGTCAGCCTCCACCACATTGCTTCCTAATGCATTCCATTTGTCAACCACTCTGACACTAAAAAAGTTCTTTCTAATATCTTTGTGGCTCATTTGGGCACTCAGTTTCCACCTGTTTCCCCTAGTGCGTGTGCCCCTTGTGTTAAATAGCCTATCTTTATCAACCCTGTCGATTCCCTTGAGAATCTTGAATGTGGTGATCATGTCCCCCCTAACTCTTCTGTCTTCCAACGAAGTGAGGTTCAATTCCCGTAGTCTCACCTCGTAACTCATACCTCTCAGCTCGGGTACTAGTCTGGTGGCAAACCTTTGAACCTTTTCCAGTTTAGTCTTATGCTTGACTAGATATGGACTCCATGCTGGAGCCGCATATTTCAGGATTGGTCTGACATATGTGGTATATAATGTTCTGAAAGATTCCTTACACAAGTTTCTAAAGGCCGTTCTTATGTTAGCCAACCTGGCATATGCTGCTGATGTTATCCTCTTGATATGAGCTTCAGGGGACAGGTCTGGCGTGATATCAACCCCCAGGTCTTTCTCTCTCTCTGACTCTTGAAGTATTTCATCTCCCAAGTGATACCTTGTATCTGGTCTCCTGCTTCCTACTCATATCTTCATTACATTACATTTGCTTGGGTTAAACTCTAACATCCATTTGTTCGACCATTCCTGCAGTTTGTCCAGGTCTTCTTGAAGCCTCAAGCTGTTCTCCTCTGTCTTAATCCTTCTCATAATTTTGGCGTCGTCAGCAAACATTGAGAGGAATGAGTCTATACCCTCTGGGAGATCATTTACGTATATCAGAAACAGGATAGGTCCAAGCACAGAGCCCTGTGGGACTCCACTGGTGACTTCCCGCCATTCTGAGGTCTCACCCCTCACTATAACTCTGCTTCCTATTGCTTAGGTACTCCCTTATCCACTGGAGCGCCCTACCAGTTACTCCTGCCTGTTTCTCCAGCTTATGCATCAACCTTTTATGGGGTACTGTGTCAAAGGCTTTCCGACAGTCCAAAAAAAATGCAGTCCGCCCATCCTTCTCTTTCTTGCTTAATCTTTGTCACCTGATCATAGAATTCTATCAAGCCTGTAAGGCAAGATTTACCCTCCCTGAACCCATGTTGATGGGTTGTCACGAAGTCTCTTTTCTCCAGATGTGTTACTAAGTTTTTTCTCACAATCTTCTCCATCACCTTGCATGGTATACAAGTTAAGGACACTGGCCTGTAGTTCAGTGCCTCTTGTCTGTCACCCTTTTTGTATATTGGTACTACATTAGCAGTCTTCCATACTTCTGGTAGGTCTCCCGTTTCCAGTGACCTACTATACACTATGGAGAGTGGCAAGCTAAGTGCTCCTGCACACTCTTTCAATACCCATGGTGAGATTCCATCCGGCCCAACAGCTTTTCTCACATCCAGCTCCAATAGGTGCTTCTTGACCTCATCTCTTGTAATTTCGAACCTTTCCATGGTCACCTGGTTTGCTGCCACCTCTCCTAGCACCGTGACTTCTCCCTGTTCTATTGTAAAGACCTCCTGGAACCTTTTGTTGAGTTCTTCACACACCTCTTTGTCATTCTCTGTGTACCTGTCCTCGCCCACCCTAAGTTTCATCACCTGTTCCTTCACTGTTGTCTTTCTCCTGATGTGACTGTGTAGTAGCTTTGGTTCGGTCTTGGCTTTATTAGCTATAACATTTTCATACCTTTTCTCAGCTGCT